ATTATCTTTGAAACTGAACATCATAATATTCTTCCTGACAATCTTATTAGTATTAGCCTATTTAATGTCTTTCTTTTGACTTGGGCTCTATTGTTAGTGCCGCCATTTTGTAAAATGAGCCACTCTGTTCATATGTCTGTACCTCGTCAATGATCCTCAGACAGGTTTACCGAAACAGTCTGAATAAAATGGTTTAATCCTCTTTAAATCGCTCACATCCTGTTTACAAAGCAGCATTAAACTAACAAGTGTGTGAAATAACATCTGATCACTAAAAACACATTATTTTCAATGATCCACAACACTAAACTCTGAAATAAATATTGATTCAAAACATATTTTCTATTCTGATTTGCTAATTTTTAAATGTATTTCTCATATTTTCTAATCTATGATAGCCCACCCTGCCACCACCACTATTCCTTCGTTTCTAACTAAAACAGTTTGTAGCATACTATAAAATTGCCCTCTCATGCTTGAGTAAGACAACTCAAAGGTCATACATTCAAAATTCATAACTGACCTGTAACAACAGCAGCTGCAGTAGCAGGAAACAAACGTATCTCTCATTTACTCTCTGAAAAATGTCAAAATAAAATGTGAAAATATAAGTTACACCTACATTTTACAATCTTTGAGGTTTCCATTTTTACTAATAGAGTTTAAGGTATATTTTAGGATGATCACTTGTTATATTAAGTAACAATTGTACTTCTTTATCTTCTTATTAAATATCTTGTACAGGAAGTCACAACCTTTTGCTGTTAATCATTATTCTAAGTATATCTGAATTTGTCATCAGATGAATGAATAGGGACTCAAATGCAAAACTCCTGTGTAAAATTTGTATTTATAACACAATTTATTTTTACAATAAGAAAATGACAAAAATCCAAGCAAATGTTTTCCAGTTAGTGCAGTTGCAGGTCCACACACATAGTTCCATATCAAGTCCTTCCACAACATGTCGCCTCTCAGTTCCTCCTCCAGAAAATCACCAGGTAATCTGTAACAGAAGAAGACACAGGTAAAAGTTTGACACAGAGAATTTAACTGGCTGCCCTTTCATATTTGTCATTAACCATTTAAGTGAATTATTCAGTCAGGATAAAATGAAAAACATGAAATTCGGGTATTAACACTTTAAACTCTGTACTGTGAGTGGTGCTATATATGATGGCATTTCTGTTTCTGAATGTTTTCTCTTCTAATGAATACTTATGTGTGTCTGTACACAGAGGATATGATTTTTGGTACTAATTACCCTAAAGTAGTTCACAAAGCAAATTTCACAAAGCAGAGTTTTCATGCTGGTTTTTGAACAGCACAGTTAAGAACAGTGACATTCATAAAGAATAAGAAAATGCACATTGTTGATAAAAGTGATTTTTGTGTGTGTGTCTTATTGCCAGACACAATGAGGATCGTCTTGCTGGGAAAAACTGGAATTGGGAAGAGCAGCCTGGCTAACACCATATTTGGAAAGAATGTGTTCAAAGTCAAATATTTTTCAGACTCACAAGCAGTTTGTGAAGCAGCAACATCTGGATCTGTCAGCGAGAGACACCTCACTGTGATCGACACTCCTGGTTTCTTCAGTCCAGAAATGTCAGAGTGGGAGCTGAAGCGTGAGATACAGAGGAGCATCGCAGAGTGCCCTCCTGGTCCTCACGCTTTTCTCATCGTGCTCAGAGTGGAGAAATTCACAGAGCAGGAGATGGCTGTCATTAGAAAGATCGAAGAATATTTTTCTGCAGAGGTTTTTAAATATTCTGCAGTTGTCTTCACATGTGGCTCCCAGTTATCTGAAGGAATGAAAATTGAGGCATTCATCAAAAAAGAAAAGCATCTGAAAGATCTGGTGGAGAAGTGTGGCGGTCGGTGTCACGTCGTCGATAATCAATACTGGAACAACAGCAACCAGCAGCATGAATATGAGAACAACCGCTTCCAGGTGACACAGCTGCTCAACACAATAGAGAACATGGTGAAGGGAAATGAAGGAGGCTGCTACACCTCTGAGGTCCTGAAGAGACACATACAGTCAACAGCCTTTCTCCCCAGGGTCGTCACATTTATTAAAAGAAATGCAAGGAGAACATCAGTGAAAATCTTTTGCAATGTAGCGCTGCTCATAGGAGCATACTTCTTTTATAGAAGCTTCAAAACTGTAGCAGTTATGATTCAGTAGCTTCAGCAGCACAAACGCCTTTCTGAGTCACTGGAGCAAAACATTCAACTATTTTAAGTTATTTTACTGACATCACGTGCTTTGCTGCCATCTGTCATCAGCTAATGCCTCCTTACAAATAAAGTCATTATTTGATATCAGACATTGTTGAGGACACACAAATGTTTAAAATGCATCACTTTTAAATTTTGGCAGCTCTGGGTTCTCTGCAGTCAGTCTCAAATGTGAACATATAGTTTACTTCTTGACAATGCCCACTGGTTTTAAAATCCACAGTCACAAGAGATTTCAATATGTAGCCCAGTGTAGAGTTAGATGATTTCACAACTTTGTGTGCATTTGTGGTGTGTTGTTTTTCCACAGTGACTTAAATCTGTCTGTGTGAGTAGTCACATGATTAAAAAAATGTTGTCCATTTTTCTGCAATAAAGGCTGAAATAAACTGAGCTGATGCTGTTGTGTGTTTTCTGAAACTGGCTGTTGTGAAATCAGACTGAAGTGTTGGAAGATCAGTCAAATGTAAGATTAAAAGGTTGTCCATTACAAAGTTTACTTTAAAAAAACAATATTTTCCTTTCACTAAAATAATGCAGCTTAAAGTCAGTGATGCCACAAGGACTGAGTTATTGCAATGAATTTGTTAATGCACTGAAAATCTCTCAATATCAGGAGGTTTATTGTGATTGCACACACAGTAAGTGCACTTAGTACTCAGATTTTATACAATCCGTTGAATTAAAAGACTGAAATTCTTGTGTCTCCAAGTGTTTCATATCAGCTGATTTTATTTGTATTATGCTGTAAAATAAACCTGGTGTTCCCATAATTTTAAAAGAAAAAGAAAATAAGACACCTATCTAACAAAGAAAAAACATCCTGTTCAAAAAGGAAGCTGAGTTTTTTTTACTCATCAGGTCCAACTAATCACGGATAGCTAGGAGAATGTCATGTACATACCAATGAACAGGGCTCTAGAGTGCGACCAATTTGGTCGCAAATGCAACCAAATTTTTCAGTGGTGCGACTAAAAAAAAAAATTTGGTTGCACCTGTGCGACCAACTGTTCAGGTAGCAAAAAAAAAAATCTGCAACCTTCCCTGTGGTCAACAACAGACACACATTATGCCCCTATCGTGGACTAAACCAATCAGAGATAGCAAGGGGCGGGACCTCTCTGATTGGCCGTGGTCCAGTTGAAAGTGCAGGTGGAAGTGGGAGGTGAGTAGCTTGAATAAAGCGATATCAATTCATTAAATCCGAATTATAATATTTCTGACTGTCTGAGGCTAAGTTGAATCGAATCGGGACTTTGAAAACCGGACTTGAATGTATTATAGAAATCAGTGATGATACCCAGCCCTAGTGAGCAGCCTAGGCACGACAGAAGTGGATGTAGCTGTAATAGGAAAAGAACTATTGATAACTTTTCTGTTAAGTTAAGGCCTGATCCTTCTGAAATTCATAGCCAGTGCTCTGACACGGTGTCATCAATCTTTGAATGCTGAAAAAGCACAGTGTATCCAGAAAAACACATTATATTATATAAATTATTATAAAATTTGTGTGCGCCTAACTTTTGTGCCGGTACGCCTAACTTTTTAAAGTTAGGCGTACCGGCACGCCCATGGCAAAAAGTTAGTCTAGAGCCCTGATGAATGCATGACTCGAGGTAATTGCAGTCGGTGCGCATTTATTTACAGTATAAATACCACAGTATGGTATATACAAAAGTTATTTTTCACAAACTAGTTTTTCATGTACTTCATTGATGCTTTGTGTTTGTTCCAGTAGCACATGTTAAAATTACAAGTGGACATAATAAACATTCTATTGATATAAATTGCAGCATTTTACGGGATTATCTTTCGTGTCCCTTCTTTGGTGTTGGTATCACTGCTGGTTAGACTATTTTAGTTTCATGTTTGATTTGTCCACAAATCAAAGACCAGCAAACTATCACCATCACCGTTAACTGACAGAAGGGCTGAATCACGAGAAGTTTGATTGGCTTGACAACATTTTAAAGGGCAACTTTAAAATATATATATATATATATATATATATATAGATATAGATAATATTCTTAACTCTGTAACTTCTGTCGGTGCTGTGCTTTTTGGAAAACAAATTTCCCAGAGGAACCCACCCGAGGGATTAATAAAGTTTAATCTAATCTAATCTAATCTAATCTAATCTAGCAGAATGAGGTGTAGTTGCCGCATATTTGGTAACATAGTTAGCCATAATCACACTTTCAAGACAATCATGAAAAGCAAGCCGAACAATAATTTGGGTTAAGTATACACAACTGCAGCCAACAAGGGGGGAAAAAGTAAAAGTAAAAACCCAGAGTAACTACAAACGTAACTCCCACAAACCGGGAGCAAGCTACACCTTCCCCCCCAAAAGAGCTTATATCCAACATGTCTCTTCACTCCCTAAAACAGAAGTTGCCCCTAACAGGGAACGGCAACTATAACATAACGTTTAGACAGAGTTGACAGGGCACGTCCCAGTCTCAAAGTGATCCCTCACGCTAAGTATTCGAATGTTGCATCTGCGCTCCCCTCAAGGTCTTTGGTCTTGTCCGAAGGAGCTGATATCTTTCAGATCGTGAACTTGCTTCTCCAAGTCCACAACCCGGTCCAAATACGTGTTTGCAGCTTCTTCCAGGCTAGTTAGCCAGCTATGGTGGTCAGTGCAGGTAGTAGCTAGAGCAGTGGTTCTTAACCTGGGTTCGATCGAACCCTAGGGTTTTGGAGAGTCTGTCTCAAGGGTTCGGCAGAGCCTCCGCCGTGACATGCACAGCTCATTTTGTGCACCAGTAAAAAACATATCCATGTCTTGAATTTGAAAAAAAAAATCAATCAAATATTTTATTTTTCTCTAAAGAGGGGTTCAGTCACTGCGCATATGAAACTGGTGGGGTTCGGTACCTCCAACAAGGTTAAGAACCACTGAGCTAGAGCATCAATCTTAGCACAAAGTTCATTCCGCACTTCATCCTTTTGGTCAGAAACATTGCTGCGAATCGATCAGGTCATTAAGAGCTTGGCACTTGGGCTCAACTTTTGCTTCCAGTGTAGAAATTTCGGCGACTACATTTTTCTCCGAGCTAGCTATGGCAGCCATTAGCGCGGCCGTGTCTGGGGATGTAGCATTGCTATCAGTGGCCTTGGCTCCATCAGTCTTTCTGGTATTTTTAGATCCTGACATTGTTTCAAAGTTCCCTTGAGTGATGCGCACGTTTGCAGAGGTAACTCAGCTGATGACAGATAACGCCCAATGTCACAGTATTTATATGGAAAAATAGCGTACTAATGCAGGACAAAGACGTCTCTTCTTCATTAGATGTCAAAAAGCTGACAGTAAATACTGCAACAACATCTGCAATAATACCAGTCCTGGTGGAGTAATCAGTTACAAGTGAAACAGCTTCTCAACAAGCTACTACAGCAAATAAATGCTTCAGGCAGTGTGGAAAAATAAAAGTCAGTGGGGCACTGAAATGCTTTTGATCACTTTTAACAGTCAGTAAAAAGTCAGTTATTCCAGTTCAGACTGGATCTGAGTGATTATCTGTATTTTACCAAACATTTATCTTTTCTCTTTATCAATCTTTGTTTGATATTTTTCATTTTCAAACAACCAAAACTAACAACAGACATAGTGATTTTATTTTGGTTGTTATTACTGAACGTTAAAAACTGTATACTTTACATTCTCTGAAATTAGGCTGATAATGCAGGCAAAGTTTATCTCTTGTATTATTGCTGTCACTTTCTTAAAATCTGTAGCCTGTGGGAGAATTGTAGATTCAAACCTTGAAACAGCGAGAGAGAGAAAAGTTTGATCTTTTGTGTTTTTCTGATTGATAGTTTAAAATTCTTTGATGTGTGTTAGTTGAATGTGTCTTCATATAGTATGTTTATACAGAGTATCATGTACATTGTCTGATAACGCATTAGCATTATGGCAGCAAAACGTAAGAAAACTGATATAAACAAGTGTTTCTTTCCTGTTGCTTAATAAAAGAAATAACTTGCCAAAAGCAAATCCTGCTCTATTATATTTGTTACTTTATTTATTTGGATCCCAATAATCATTTCAAAAACAACAAAAGTAAATAACTGAAAAGTTTCAAAGAATTATCTGTTAAACAGGTAATTACTCAAAATTGTGATTTTTATTTCATCTGTGCATATGTGTGTACTACACTGATACTGATGATATTAACACTGAATACTAGGTTCTTTATTTTATTATTTATGTCACAAGTCGTGCAAAAGCACACGTAGTCATTACCACACGTATGTGAAATCAACACGTAGAACTCAGCAGCCAGGAGCACAATGAAGCCACACGTCAGAGTGAGCATTGTGCACGCAGCTGCAGTTTCACACTCTTAGATGAACACTGCTCATCAAATCAACTGACTTGTGACTATTTGGAGGGAAAGCACACACAAAGGAAAGAGGGTGGGGGTTTCCTGTGCAGCAGTAAAAAATACTGACAACTGTCTCTGGATTACTTTACTGCTGAAGAAATCTTTAAACTAGAGGATTCTAAGGGAAGTTCTGAAGCCTCTGCACTGCTGTCCCAATAATCTATTTTACACCATCACTAATCGGTCATGGTCCTGAGTCTTTGACCCAATTTTGAGTTGATTATGGTTTTGTGCCTTAGTCTTTTGAGTTGGAGGTTTTCATATTCTAGTTTCATATCTGTTCTTTGTATTAGTTGGCCAAAAATATGAAGAGCAACTTTAATCCACAACTTGAAATGAACTGCTTCATTATCATTGCCCACTTTACAGATCTGAATTGACAGCTTCTGTATAATATGCTGTGAGAGTTCTGTATAATATTGGGCCACCATTGTGGTGCTTTGAACATAACAAAAATAATGTTATGTTTGTTTGATAATACATTTAGATGATAATACATTTTGAAATTTTTGAATAGACCTTCCTTGGTTTAACATCTCCCTTTGCTTGTGACTTTTGTATTTAAAAAAAACAATATTATATATAATATTCAGGGGTTGGAATTTAACGTGTTAATAGTGATTAATGAATTTAATCGCACTTTGCATTCCAAGCAAAGGGGAACTTTTGTCAATGCACGATTTCCTGGTATATCAATTACACAAACGTACAAATTCTCTCGTAAACTGGATTGCTCTGGGCTGTAGACTACTATCATTGGTAAAGATAGGGGGTTAGAAAATGTGCTACAGTTGGCGTCAGGTGATCCAACTTTCCATCTGCCGTGCAGAAGGACTATTTCAAGTAAAATTCAACAGCTTTATGACCTTGAAAATCAATCAAAATTAGATGCATTAAAGAAAGCAGAGTTTCTGGCTTTTACTGGAGATCAATGAACTTCCGTTAGTAATTCTAATTACATGGGAGTCACAGCACATATTGTTGATTTAAAAGACGTAAGGTGGATTCTAGAGTCTTTTGCCCTGACTGTGGAGAAGCCAAACACCAGAAACCACGCCGAAAACTGAACTGAGCAATTTCTCTCTGTGGCAGGAAAATGGGAAATTCAACAAAAGGTCACCACAATTGGAACAGACAGTGCACGAACCATGGTGGCTACAGCGAGACACCTACCATTCCAACACATGCTTTGTGTTGCTCACATCTTGCAAAGAACCATCACTGTTAGCCTTGCTGATAGTAGGTTTAGTGATGCATTAGCAAAATGTCGCAAGAAAGCGGGTCACTTTAAACACAGCCCTGCTAATATGGAGGAACTACACGAGGAGCAAACAAGACTGGGGCAACAGAAAGAGCCACCCATACAGGATGTTTCCACACAGTGGATTTCAACACTGGTCATGGTTTCTTGTCTACTAAAGGATCAATAGGATGTTTTTGCTTTAGACAAACAAAAGCTGGCGACCGTCTTAGAGCCACATAAACTATTTTTTAACTTATTGTTACTGTTTCTTCATGAAGCTCTATTGTTGATAGTTATTGTGTAGATTAATAGTTACTTTCTTGAACTGTCTACTACAGGTTTGTGACTGACCTTGGAGGTCGTCTTAAAGTCGCCAGGCACGATAAGAGCAGCCTCCAGGTGTAACGTTTCCTGCCGGTCGATAAAGATGACATGGAAAGTTTTCCTGGCCCTTAGTTCATCCAGCTTGTTTTCCAGAGACTGGACATTTGCTAGAACAATGCTGGAAAGCAGGGTGCGATGTCTTCTGTTTCTCAACCTGACCAGAAGCCCGGCTCTTTGCCGCCTTTTTCTACAGCGTTTCTTTTGCCCAGGTAGCCAAGGTGAGTTGCCACCATTCACAAAAATGTCGGTCTGTGAATGTCCGGATTACAAGTTTTGACGAATTTCCAGGAGATTTTGTCTGTCATAGCGAACATAAGAAAACACAAAGTTGAGAAGGACACTGAACAACAGGAGTCATCTTTTATATGTGTTCAAAGATGCTCTCCATGCAAGTGAAACAAGCCATCCTTAAGCTGCGAAAGCAGAAAAACCCTCCAAGGACTTGCTACACTAGATCTAAATCTACACTTTGGAACATCCTGAGAAATAAAAAAAATGCCATGGTGAGCTCAGCAACACAAAAAGACCTGGATGTCACTGGGCACTGAAGCAATAAAACCACAGATCACAACAACAGATTTACAAATGTAAATGAAACTCCAGACTAGGGAATCAGTTTTGTAGACAACCTGGAAGTTGTTGAAACCTGGCAACAAAGACAATAAGTCAACAACAAGCCTCTTCCTCTTTTTTATCTGTGGGTGGTTCACTGACTTGACAGTCAAAACAAAAGTGAAAAAAAATTGTCATTGAGCCAGTTTAACCGTGAAGAGCACAAGAGCAGACAACAAGAAGCAACAAATAAACAAAGGACAACATAAAACCTGAAGTCAAACCTATTCATCTGTGTACTGCATTTCTTTTCATCATGGATGGTGAGTTTTGAGTGATTTAATCCTTTGTGTTGTTCTCTGCTAACACTCAACGCTTACTCTGGACATGACAATCAGTAATGGAGACTTCTGGGTTCTCATAATCTTACTTTGACTAAGAGTGTAGAGCGTTGAAACGCATTTTTACAGAGGATTATCTTTGAAACTGAACATCATAATATTCTTCCTGACAGTCTTATTAGTATTACCCTATTTATTGGCCTCTCTTTTGACTTTTTCTGTATGGTTAGTGCCACCATTATATAAAATGAGCCACTCTGTTCACATGTCTGTACCACGTCAATGATCCTCAGACAGGTTTATCAAAACAGTCTGAATAAAATGATCCTCTTTAAATCGCTCACGTCCTGTTTGCGAAGCAGCGTTAAACTAACAAGTGTATGAAATAACATCTGATCACTAAAAACACATTATTTTCAACGATCCACAACACTAAACTCTGAAATAAATAGTGATTCAAAACATATTTTCTATTTCTTTTTTTATTGTTTTTCACATTATAAATCATATATTTAATTCTTTTTTTTTTTTTCAATTTTAATTTTTAAATAAAAATACTTCAAAAAGTAGTTAAACATGTCAATTTACAAACAGGTCAGATATTTTAGAATGCTTTTAGTTAATCATGCATTTAATTTTTATCTAAATTGTCATGAAAGGCTGTGTGCAGGAGGCAGGAAAGAACCCAAATGCAGACTCGTAGGCGAAACGTAAACTTAAAAAACACAGGTTCATTTGCTGAATGAATAAACAATACACAATTAAACTGGGAACCTAATGAACTGAACACACGGGGAAACACACGGATTATCACACAGCCACGAGGGAGATCACAACACAGAACCCAGGGAGACGCTGACATAAATACACAGGAGGATAACGAAGGACGTGAGAACAAACAGGGAACACAGCTGACACAAATTAACATGACGCCACAGGGGAAGCACACCGAACATGAAAACATGAGACCTTCACAATAAAACAGGAAATGGAGGGACATGACACAGGAGCAGATGAGAGGGAGCGAGGGAACATGAGGGAGCATGGGAGGGAGAGAGAGAGAGAAGACTAGAGGGACATCTAGGGGGAGACAAAACATCATAACATGATATGGGGACTGGGAAGATAGAAAACTCAGAGAAACACGAACATCTAGGGAAATAAATAAACACAATAGATGGGGAAACATGGAATGGCACACACAAGAAGGGGAACACAGGCACAGAAGAGGGAAATAAGGCACAAGGACTAACACACCTAAACACATACACACAGCAGGGGGAAAACACAAGGGGAGCCTAAATATACAAAAGCTAACATAGAATAAACTCAGGATCACCTATATGAACCTTAAATAATAAACCACAACATAAAATGTCATAAAAAGACAAGAATCTGACATAACCATGACATAAATAAGAGAGAAAGAGAAAAAATCTGTAAACAAAGAAAAAAAAGTTAATCTGTTTGGTTCTTTTCTAGGCTCAGATGAAAGAAGGATTGTCATCCTGGGAAAAACAGGCAGTGGGAAGAGCAGCCTGGGAAACACTATACTGGGAGACAGTCTGCTGAAGGTGAAAGCGTGTCCAGAGTCTGAAACAAGTTGGTGTCAAAGGGAATCCAAAACTGTTGATGGCATACGCACCACTGTGTTTGACACTCCTGGCTTCTTTGATACAAACATGTCTGAAGAGGAGCTGAAGTGCGAGACGGTTAAATGTATTAAAGAGTGCGCCCCAGGTCCTCATGCTTTTCTCATTGTGCTCCAAGTGGCCAGATACTCACATCAGGAGAAAGACGTCATCAACAAAATACTTGGATGTTTCTCAGAGGAAGCTCTGAAACATGCTGTGATTGTCTTCACGCATGGTGATGACCTCCCTGAGGGAGTGAAAATCAAGGAATTTGTTAGTAAAAGTAAGGATCTAAGTCATCTAATGGAGAAGTGTGGCGGCAGGTGTCATGTTTTTGATAATAAACACTGGAACAACAATCCTGGTGACTACAGGAATAACCAGTACCAAGTGAAGCAGCTCCTCAACACTGTGGATAAGATGAAAGAAAGAGGATGCTACACCAATGAAATGCTTCAGGCAGTGTACAAAAATCAGTGGGACTTTAAAACACTTTTGAAAATCTTTGCTGGTGCCACAGTAGGAACAGTGTTGGGAGCATTGTTGGGTGCAATAAAATGTCCGTGCAATGTTGTGTTAGGTTCAGTCGTGGGAGGGATAGCTGGAGGTGTTGTTGGTGGTGCTGCTGGATATAATGCATCAACAATTATGGAAGCTGTAACACAAACAATTGACAATGCCATAAAAATAAAAGTAGTAACTGAATTTGGTCAAAGTGGAGATTCAAAGCAGAATCCCCCCAAAAAACACGAGTAATTCTTGATAAGTTTAGTTATTTGAATCTGCTCTGTGGTGTGTTTAAGAGTAAATGAAAGAAAAAGCTGGGCTTAGGAAGTCGAGTGCTTTACTTCTACACCTTATTAGATGTTAAATAGCTGTCAGTAATCTTTTGCTTTGCTTCTTTTCTCTCATTTCAGGCTCATGCTGTTTTATTTTGAAAACGTGCAGTTAGAGGGAGAGTTGCAGATTCAAGCCTTTCCCATTGTCAATAGCAGATTTCAGCTCTGATCTCTGATCTCAGCACTGATCATTTCTGTAATATATGAAACTCAACATGACATGCTGAATTTGAATTGTGTTTTTTCAGTGAAACTTTCTGTAAGCAATCAAGGCTTTGTGTGTTCATCACCAAATTCATCATCAAAGATCTCAAAATGTCCTGGACTATGATAGTTCATGTCAACACTGATGAATAGATGATTTAAGTCTGTATGTAGAATTTTCTCAGGCTTCTTTATGTGTGATTAGACAGAGGTGTTGGAAAATCTTTTTAAAATTCTTGTATGTATTATGTTTATAAATCATGTAAACTGATTGAAGCATCAAGGAAGCAACACTTTAATGAGTTGATCTGAACAAGGTTCTTTCCTGTTATTTAACAATAGAAATACTTTGTTAAATTTACTTCTGCTAATTGAATTATATTTGTTTATTTGTATCCAATAACCACTTGAAATGCAATAAAAACAAATAACTGACACATTTCACAGCTTGTAATTTTTCAGCACTGTGAATTTTGTTGAATTTGTTTAAAGTTCATCTGTGAACTGACATATACATGTCCACAACATAATAAATAATAACTCAAACACAGAGAGACCTTAAATTAAACACAGGTGTATTGTCGTACTCCAAGAAGAGACACTTCCTGGCTCAAATTGCCATGATAAGGACTATGGTGTCATCGTGCGGCCAAATAAAATTACACCATGACGGCAGTGTAACCCAGTGTGTCCAATTATGAATCAAGACATTATTGTCTCCTCTTCCCTTGTTCTCCATGTTTTTCTCATGTTTTCTTTTGAATAGAGTAAAACATCTCCCTGTCCTCTCCTCCTCATTTTGCCATCTTTCCCCTCATTTTCTGTTTTATCACGCTCTTCATTTCAGCTTTCCTAACACTGATATTTAAATCAACTTGATCCCATTTAGCAGCTTCCTTTGCAATTTTATTTGCGACCTCTAATTTTCAGCTCCTTAATTTAGATAAAACTGTGAAAATCTTAGAAATATGGTAGCTAACCAGATTCTTACTCTGGATGGCATTACCTTGGCCTCCAGTAACACTGTGAGGAACCTTGGAGTCATTTTTTTTAAAATACTAAATTATTAAAAGAGCATGATCGGTAAGGATATGTGAGACTAGATGGTACTGGAGGGAGACAGGAGCAAAGTAAGGAAAGCATATATGTTTTGGTTAAGTCTGATAAAGTAAAATCAAAAAGTACCATTACATTAAGAGGAGCAACATGAAATCAAAATATGGAAATTGTGTATGAAGAACATGACTGATAACTGTTCTGTCTTAAGTTTTGTTATAACACAGATTGCATTACAAGTGGAAAAATTGAGTTTTAAAAATGGAGTTAATGTTAACACACAGGTTTTGTTTCTAGGCAGCTCTGAATGGAGCCAGGAGTTCAAAAGATTTAACATGATGATTAAACTGATTTTATTATAAGAGAGGGCCAGCTCTGAGTACAGTCTGAGCCAAAAGTACTGACAGGAAACTGCATGCTTTTGCAGAGCATATGAGGTGCAGGCAGAAAGTGAAACTAAGCAGAGTGTTTGATCGAAACTTAAAGTGTGCGTGACGTCTAGAGGAAGTATATAAATAATCAGGCTACCTGCTGCTGCTTCAGACTTGAGCTGGCGTTTCTGTGTGTGCTCAGTCTCCATATTAAGGAATATGTAAAATTAAAGATAATTTTTTGAGTTAGACTACTTTGAGCTGTTTGTCTTTCTTCACCGCCGAAAGTATGTGAAGAACCGAATTTAATACTCTACAGCACTTTGACTGGAAATGTTCTTGTGTTACTTTTGCAAGATACACCACACAAGTTGCTCAGTGTTATTTAGACATGTCAAGTTCCAGCATGGTTTGTACCCAGGAACGTTTTTACATTTGACCTTTGGACAGCCTAGATATTAATTTGTCTTTTACAAGCAACACCTCTTCAACGCACATGAAGACTTTGACTCAGAGGTCATCAGTAATTTTTTGAGCCTGCATCTTATGATGGAACCTCTGTTCTACAGCCTGTAAATGTGGCTCATCTTGTGACAGGCAAATACTAGACATGTATAGGACTGTTATTTCTCAACTACAATCCTCAGGAGTCCTGAAAGTACTGTGCAGCGTTTAGTTGGTTCATTGGAGGAAAGGGTTAATAACAAACAAGCACATGCAAAACAATCTGTTGTTGAATGTTTGTCATCAAGAGAAACCTCAGAAAAGTTGAATGTTTTGATCAGCTTGAAAATCCATTCTCATATCTTAACAGAATCTAAAAGGATGAGACATTTTGAGCAAAACTGGAAAATTGTTGAACCTGTAGAGCATGTTTTCTTGTGTGCGTTTTGATGTACTTAAAGCCGCTTGTGCATGCTCTAAATAATTTAGAGACTGAAGAAATGATCAACGGTCACTTAAATTTATTTGTTATTGAGGATAAACTGGATGCTGTTGCACTGATCTGTGTAGATAATGTGGTGTATTATAGACCTTACAATGGGCAATTTTCAAATGGCACTAATGACAAAATGTAGATTGTCCAATATTGTAGTTTTGTATATCTTTATGCGCTGTTTATTTGTGGTGTATCTGCTGTTTGAATACAGAGTATTTTGAACACTGTCCTGTTGTTTCTTTTAATGGGTAGAGTGTCTGTAGCTGTGAATACATTCTAATTAATTGTAGCAGTAGAGATATCAGAGATTAATGGGAGTTTATTGTAATCTGGCTAGTATTGATGATTTGACTGACACTAGTGTTAGTATTAGACAATCAACACTATTCAGTGTTAAATTTTTAAACACCAGGGGTAGTGTAAAGTACTACCAACACTATTTGGTGTTAACTTTTAACACCTAACACCAGTGTAGAATATTGTTGACACTGGTCAGTGTTAGTCAGTGTTAATCTTTAACTCTGTACAGTGTTAAAATAACACTGGGTCATTGTTAAAAATATAACACTTTGAAAAGTGTTAATTTAACA